GGGACCCAGACCGGAGGGCTGTGTTCTCTGCTGGTTCACGGGGCTCTCCATCCACTCATGTCCCAGGCATCGCAGGAAGGGCCAACTTCTCTGCGACAGGAGTGGAGGTGGCTCCCACCGACTCCACTACAGGAGTTGGTCAAACACCAGAAGCCTTGGCCCAGTGCCTCTAATGGTTTCATCTGCATTGTGAATGGCCATGTAAACAACAAGGAAATATTTTTCACCCCATTCAAACCTTTTGCGTTCTCAAAGGCTGTGATAAATTTCCAGGCAGTGAAGAATGTGAGGCACAAAGGAATTGTGTCCAAACGAATTTATTTTTATTATGAGCATTCAAGCTTTGGCACGCTGGAAGAGCCATCATTTGCTGCTCAGAGCTACTTACTGCTTTGTTGTTTGGATTCTGTTTCAAACACAGACCTCTGGGCCCATCTAGACTCCTTCTACTGTAACCTTTTAGCAGGTTGAGTGAGAAGACTGTGCTGACTAAAAAGACCACAGTTTAAAAAGAACTATTTCGCTCTGCATTAGAGAAACCTTTATCTGAACACAACAAGTAAAAATAGCTTTCCTGGTTTTATCTGAACAATTATTTCAGCAAGAGCAGAGTGATGGTGAGAAATATGCCCTACAGGCTGCTTTTATTTGACATCCATGACTGGAAAAGCTTTACTTGTTCAGTCTTGAGTAATGACATTTAAAAGCATTGTGAATCCACAGAGATGTTTTATGGAATGTTTATTCAATTAAAGGGTGAAGTTTAAAACATAAATAATACTAATTTTAAGATTTCAAAGCTGTTTCACTAATGCAGAAGTCTAGCAGCGTGTAGTCTGTTGAAGCTTTCTGGGCAATGCTATGCAGAGTTGAAGGAAAAGTACCCTTTTGGGCTCAATGTATGTTCCTAGCCCCGTTACTTTGTTATGTTTATCTCACCATAATACAGTCAGGTCGTCTGGATTAACAGCTTGGAAAACAGCAAGGATTCTAGCTAGGGTTATTCCATGAACTCAGGCATGACCAAAAGTAATGAGATCATGTCAACAACGTTACCATAGTACAAGTAGAGTGGATTTGTGATCTGTGGTCCGAATTCTCATTTTCACTAATACAGCTGTAAATCCAGTGTAATTTAATGAATTCAGAAGAGTCTCTCCAGGTACCAGTAGTGGGGTAGAGCCTGCTCTCGGATGTAAAGTGTTAAAAAGACACTGCTGCCTATTGCTTGGAAAACAGTTGTGAATCTTTAATAAGCTGTCAAAAATTATGTTGGGTCTGTTTCTGGCAATCTCTAATCTATGTAAATATTTTGCCTTCTACAGTCCTTAAAGCTGTACGTTACCACAAATCCCACAAGCCAAATTTTGATGATTTATGGCTCAGCTTTTCTTTCAGGTACCCATGCAACACTGCTGAAAGCTGCCACTGGGTGATACTCAACTCCTTGCAGCTTCTTGACTTCAGGAAAGATCTTCCTTCAACTCCTTTTGTATTTACTAAAAACTGTGTCTATTTTGGGGTTTTTTTGTTTGTTTTGGTTTTGAAAGTCTAGAGCAAAACCAAGTCTACCTCATCTGTTCACTGAAATCAGTAATACCATTTAATGGGAGTTTCTCTTCACTGTTGTCAGAAAAACATTCATTTGTGTTTGTTGTTCTAGTGTTATTCAAGCAAATGTCTCTGTATCCTTCATTAGGAAAACCAGAAATGGATTGGAAAAATGGAACTGTAGTGGACATTGTCATTTCATTAATATTTACAGTTGGTAGCATTGTACAGAGCTACCTTTTCAATAAGAAATATCTAGATAAGGCTTTCTTTTTCTGCTATTGAATTACACTGACTTTAGGAGTAGTTATAGGTACAGAATAAGAGGCCAGACTATGATGGAGATGCAGGCCCTGGAGAAGAAACCTGTAGTGTAGATTAAACAAAGGGTCTTTGCCAGACCCTTTAAAATAGTCTGTCAAAACAGGAGCTCTACAAGAAGGAATAAGAAAAGTAGTGTAACACCAGCTACTTGTGTGCTGTGTTTTGTGATATCAGCCTGTGATCATATAGTCACTGAAGTACATGAACTGTACTACGAGTTCTCTGTCAAGTCTTACAGTGTAGTAAGCTGATATGAGACACTGTCATCTTTTACTGTCAAAATTAAGAAGTATGTGTTTACGGTATGTGTAAGGTTTGGATTTTGAATGCATATTAAAATTGTCCAGACTGTTAATGAGAAGATTGAGCTTTTGCTGAGAAACCAAATCTGGACAATCCCTTTTTGCATGGCAGTTCTGTCCTCACCTGTCAGCCTGTCATCTGCACAGCTCATCCTGCAAGTCTGTTTTCTAGACCTAAATAAGCTTTTCCTGACACACAAATTGCTCTTTCCCCATCCTCTGCAGCATTTTGAAAGATTATGTCTGAAGTCTAGCTGCACGTTTTTCCTTCTACTCAAGCTGTTCTTTTGCCAATGGCAGGATCTGCAACGAGACATAGAGCAACACACCGCAGGCGTGGAATCTGTATTTAATATTTGTGAAGTCCTGCTACACGATTCAGATGCATGTGCTAATGAGACAGAGTGTGACTCCATCCAGCAGACTACCAGGAGTTTGGACAGACGGTGGAGAAACATTTGCGCCATGTCAATGGAAAGACGAATGAAGTAAGTCTCTTTTTCTTACCCCTCCTAAAGAAGCCTGTGGCAGCATTTTGAAGAAGTGCTGTAGCTTTTGCCACAAGATGAATTTTGGAAAAGAAAAAAAATCCAAAATTAATCACTTGTGATAAAACCTTTCCATTTTTGCATCTCCCTCTCAGAATCGAGGAAACCTGGCGCCTGTGGCAGAGGTTTTTGGACGATTATTCTCGCTTTGAAGATTGGCTAAAATCATCTGAAAGGACAGCAGCTAAGCCTAATTCTTCAGAGGTTTTGTACACATATGCAAAGGAGGAGCTGAAGAAATTTGAGGTGAATTTTTTAACTTCATTTTTTTTATTTAGCAGCAGACTGAATGATCAGACTGCTAAATGCTTATTGTCTTACTGGCTGTGTGAAATGCCTGGATCACTGAAAAATGCCAGTTCGGCGGTGGTGGTGTAGAGAACATAAATAGTTTCGCCAGTGTGTGGCTGCTAGGTGTGTGGCTGATTTATTTGTCTCCAGAATTTTTTTTAATGTGGAGAATCCAGTGCTCTGAACTGACAAGATCCTGCTTATAAGTTAAAGGTTTACTTTTTATAGGCAGAAGCACTTTGTGAGTCAATTTATTTTTTTTCTTTCTTTTCCTAATGAGCTAAGTCTGAGCAGATAACTTAAAATATGGGTGCTTCTCTGGATTTAATTTTGCAGTTGGAAGGTCTGTTTTTAAGGGGAGGGCATCGTCATCTCTCTTGATGGATAGTATCATCCAGATCCTTTCTCTTATCAGCAAGTGAGCTGAGTTCATTGATTTGCCTTGCAGGCATTTCAACGGCAAATTCATGAGCGACTCACTCAGCTGGAGCTGATCAATAAGCAGTACAGGCGCCTTGCCCGCGAGAACCGCACCGACTCAGCCAGCAAGTTGAAGCAGATGGTACACGAAGGCAACCAGCGCTGGGATAATCTCCAGAAACGAGTCGCTGCCATTCTGAGGAGACTCAAGGTAATTGCATGGTGGGGTGAGGGAGTGAGGAGCACTTGCAAGTTTCTGTAGGAATTACCCAAGGGCAAAACACATACTGGAGCAACTGTCTTGTGTTGGTTTGTATCTTGAACTACCAAGTGCAGGAGAGCAGCTCTGGAAAGGTCACCAAGTACATGGCATAAACATGTCCTTGGTAGATGGGTTCTTGGTAGTTGAGGAAGCATAAGGGAAGAATGGGTGCAAATTTTGGAAGATGTGTTGCAGGCTGTACTGCTCCTATCCCGCTCTCCTCTTATCCAGTCATGTCATGGGTGGATGCTTTCATGCACTTGCACTTCTCCATAAATTAGAGGCAGAGAGGCAAAAGGGCCCCAGTGCTAATACCGTTTGGAGTTTACAATGCAGCTCTACTTTATGCCAAGTTATGATTCACCTACAAGGATTTAAACTTGGAGATGTGGTGAAGAGGCATGCTGCTGTCACTGGCTTCTGCTGTGCTCTGTGCCTGACAGAGGAATGTTGTCGAAGAGTGTATATGTGACACTTCAAAGAAGTGTCCTGCTTGTCAAGTTAAACCCATCTCTAGGCAGATACTCTGTGCTGTTCCCTAGGGGAAACTTGTCACTGCCTGATTTTTAAATACAGCAGTGCTGCAAGCAATTGACAGAGGAAACTATTAGATCCCAAAAGTCAGTGGATGAGACACTGAGAGCGCTGATGGGGTTTGATCTGTGCAGTTAGGAGGTGTTGTGTTTGAGATGTTATATGATCCCCTTCCTGAACCGTAAATCCACCCCACCGAGGAGAACTGAGGCACTGCAAGCTGCATGTCTGTTAGCAGCTTCTGTGGGAGGTGGCAGCAGAGACAGCTCCTCCTGGCTTCCACGCTAAATGATGCATTAATTACACTGGCATGGTCATCCATGATCCAGCTTCTCCATTGTTTTACTGATTTTAATGTCATAGTTCTAATTACTGTAATTAGAGATGGGGCTTGCTTCCTTTGTCTATCTTTCTTCTAAATTTAGAACAAATTGGATGTTAAACCTGAGTCCAAGTAACTGTTACACTGGTATAATGATGAGGGAGAAGGTATACAGTGTGGAAGCAAGAATATAATTTTATAGAAGCATCTTGCACTGCTGGAGTTTTATACCCTCTCCCATACGAATAGTGTACTAACATAGGACACTTTGTTCCGACATCACCATGGGAATGGGACAGTTTTCCTACATGGCATGCTGTCATTTGTGCCCTTGAAGGCCTTGAAGGTGAACAGCAGTTTTGAAACAAAACACTGTTGTCAGAGGGCTCCTGTGACCATCTTTAAGTAGTTGAAGTCTTATAACACTGACTCCCTTCTTCCTATTCAGCACTTCACCAATCGGAGAGATGAGTTTGAGGCCTCGAGGGAAAGCATCCTTGTTTGGCTCACAGAAATGGACCTCCAGCTGACAAACGTGGAGCACTTCTCAAAAAGTAACTTTGATGACAAAATGCGCCAGTTAAATGTACGTATCCTTATAAAACAGTTGTTTAATATAGCCCAGCTGATCCTATTGGTCTGCCCTGTCTTGACAGAATCATCCGCTTTTCCGGAACTTCACAATAGCCAACAGATCTCTGTAGGGCTATATTTGTTTTAAGACACCAGTAAATTGTTAAGACTTATCCTCTGAATCAAGATTAAACTGTACAGTGTTTAAATTCAGATTCAGTGTTCAAGCTCAGTTCTATCCTGCCATTTTCTCCTAACACCAAGTGTTAGTGACAGTGATATCTGGCATGGAAAGGAGCTTGTGCAGGTTAACAGTAAAAGCTACATTGCTAAATTTGGGCGATTTTTTTCTGGTGAGAATTTTTTTTAAATTGGCATTAAGGTAGGATCTCTCCTCCTGAGTGCATTTTTCGTAGCTAGGACTTTCAACAGAAATAAGACAGCAGGCGTGTGCAATGATTCTAAAGAACATACTAGTTCTTTGCTACCTGGTTGTATGCTCATTTCTCCTTTCTCCCTGCGCTGTTAATTGTTTCGGGATGTAGATTTACTGGGCTGGAAGCCCAACCAGCCAAACTTCTTTGCTACTGAGAAAAAGGTTGTATATACCCAGCAGAAAAATAAACTCTGATTAGCTGAACTCTCGTATCGTGATCCCCTGCAGGCTCAGGACACTGCAATCATATTGATGTACACGTGGGCAGAAGATGCCACTTCATTTGAAACTGTAATCCTGCTAATAAAACAAACCTTTGGACCTCTTGAGTAAAAAGATATTTGCCAAATGAAATTAGACAACAATGTCAATTGCTGCTTCTCTTTCACTGCAGTGAGCAAGAAGAGGACAAACCTTAGGCTAGAAAGGGGTGTTGCAGAAATAATTATTTCTCTTATATGTTCCAAATAGGGTTTCCAGCAGGAAATAACACTAAATACCGATAAGATTGATCAGCTAATCGTTTTTGGGGAGCAGTTGATTCAGAAGAGTGAACCTTTGGATGCTACCCTCATTGAAGATGAATTGGAAGAACTTCATCGATACTGTCAGGAAGTGTTTGGGCGAGTTGCCCGGTTCCATGAAAGACTGACTTCAAGGCATCCTGTAAGAAGCAACAGTTGTTTTGATGCTTTAGCAAGATTTTGTTATTTGAACTGCAATGCTCATTGCTTATCCCTAGCAGCTTGACTGAGTGGTTTGAGCTCAAAGGGGTCAGGAGCTTCTCAGTAGTAGTGCCAGCTTTGCTGAATCTTTGTGACCAGTCTCGTCTTCTCATGCCTCTCCTGTTGGGACTCCATCTGCAGAATCTGGATGAGAGTATGGAAGTAGTTCACAGGGTTGATATTCAGATAGTAGTGGTTTGAGGGCTTCAAAAGCTTTTTTGATGTTTTTAATATGACTTTGTTTTCTTCAATTTCAATAACATGCTTAGAATATCTCTTCATGGATTTGTTTGTAAGGCTCCATCTCATCCACTTTCTTGTGAGAACCTTGAATGGGGAACAGCGTGCTCTTTACTTTTCATTGGGAATGTTTAGATGATTCTCAGTTTGCTTTGGCTCAAAAAGAAAGCCAGGTAGAGGAAGTAGCATGAACTTGTATGAGCAGCTGTTCACCACTGCCTGAGCATCATTTCTTTGCTGACCTGTGCAGTCCATTTGGAACTGGCTACCCCTCCCTGCAAACTAGAGAGAGGTTATGGTGGTCGTTGAGTGTCTTGAAAGAGGGAGGTAGCTGCTGATGTGAGGATTGTTTTTGCAAAAGAGGAAGGAGGCAGGAATAGTGCTTACCTTTAATTTTAGGCACATGGTCTTCGATTACTGCAGCTGACTGCAAAACAGTCCCCAGTAGTACTGTGTGGCTTGATCATTAGCTCATTAAGCAGTGCAGATCTATTGTAAATCTTATTCGTATGTAATAATTGTTATTTATTTGTAGGGATGGGACGATGAAAAAGAGACCTCTGAAAGTGAGACAGATCCAGAAGACTCCAGAGAAATCCAGAATGATCCCTGGCATGAGACGGCCATCAGCGAGGGGCTGTCGTCACAGTCCCTTTGCCATCTTACGGCCCCTACTGAAGGTCATGAAAGATCAGGCTGTGAAACCCCTGTCAGTGTTGACTCCATCTCACTCGAGTGGGATCACACAGGTGATTTGGGAGGTTCTTCTTCTCATGAAGACGAAGACGCATCATACTACAGTGCTCTGTCAGGTGAGAACCTATTGCCAGCTGTTTGTTTTGTCATGGACAACTGCAGGATGTCCCTGTGTGGGAAGGGAGGGGGATTGAGGTCTTGCTCCCACGTTGTTGGTTGGTTTTCGAGTACTGTTAATAGCTGTGAGCAGTCTCATCTCTTAGATATCTTGATGAAGGGAATGATATTGTCTAAACCAAGCTTACATTTTCAGAAACATAAGGACTTTAGAAACCTTACTTTTTAAGAATGTTTGATGAAAATAGTACCAACAACTTATTTTGTTCTTTGTCTTTGCTGTCCCTCATTGTTTCAGTTGTTTGTTGGAAAATATTGAATAGTGAGGAAAATGACATTGTTCTTTTTTCAGATGTAGAAATCACTGAAAATCCTGAGGCATATCTTAAAATGACCACAAAAACTTTGAAAGCATCTTCTGGTAGGCACCTGCTAATGCATGTGTCTGAACATGGCAATCTCCCTGTGCTGCACGCTATATTCCTCAACCTCTCTCATATGTAATGTCTGACTTCCTGCCTTGTGTGGACACCATGTCTCATCCTGCCATGGTGTTCTTACGCTGCAGTATTCACATATACATTAGAAAACAGTCAAGAACATACCATTTAGATTTTGACTGGTAAATGCCGAGGTGGTTAATGTGCATTTCATTGTATTGATCCAAAGTCTTTTGGTACTTTCTTGGTGGTTTGCTCTCGGTAGTATCACGTTTTTGGTTGTTTCTAATTTTGATTATATAATTACTGAAGGCAATAGTTGCAACTCTGCGAGTATTTTTTGTGTTTTGTGCATGACAGAACTGTGTGTGTCCTGTCTGTTAAATCCAGAACAAATGTTCTCCAAATTAGGACATGTCTATATTTGTCCCTACTGAAATGTGTTGCAGATGTGAGATAGTATTGTTGGGGTGCAAACTTTCTAAAACCACAGTGCAGCCTTTTTCTTTTATTTTTTTGAATACTTATACCTGTATTGAGGCATTTTCCAGAAGAAAACAGAATGTCCCGTAACTGCATGGCTCTCATCTCATTACCTTTGAAACACTGTTGATGTTTTGCAAATGTGCATGCTTTGCAAGGAAAGCTGCAAAACTGTCATTTTTATGCCGTAACTTGATGCCATTTTATTTAAAGCGCTTTTCTAACTTAATACAAAGCAACAGCTTTCTTGTGAAGATGGGATTTTGCACTCATGGCGTATGATTTTGGTTTTATTTGTTTCAGGAAAGTCTGTTTCAGAAGCTCATCCTTGGCATTCTCCAGATAATCCAGTCTGCAGGAAACATCAATACAACCAGGCAGAGATAGTTGAAAATGTGTCATCTGGTCCGGAGACAAGTACTCCCTATAAGCCAGACTATGTGAGTTGGAGGCTCCGCGGGCACTGAACCTGTACTGCACAGCCTGTTTGTTGTTCCTATGTAACTCCATCCTCTTCCCTCTTCCAGCATCAAGGAAAAGATTAGTTGTAGGGAGAATGTTCACCTTATGCAAACTTAGACATTATTTCTGGTGGCTCAGGTAACCAGTGAGAGTCTCTATCCGCTCGCTAGAAAAACTTTTTTAAAGCAATTCGGAGCAATCCTGTTAGGCTCCTGGTCAGAGTCAGTGTCTGGAGGAACTTACTTCTTCTCTTGTCAGAGGTCAAGTCTAGGAGAATTTAACTCCCTGTAAGGACAGGATGTGAATACCCTCCCTTCATACTTACTGACATATCTCCCTTTCCTAAGCGGACTGGTTGGAAGAGTGCTTTTCTAGCATGCAACCCACCATTTAACCTGTTTCTAGGCACTAAAAAATGTGCCAAAATGGTAGCACAATGCCAATACCTCAGCCTTGGTAGCTGGATGGCCAGCCATGACTTTGCCAGCAACTGCCAGGCTCAGTGGATGTGGACTAGTTGTCAGCATTCTTCAGGCACGAGATGGTACTGGTGTCTGGCTGCTTTTGTCATCATTAATCCAGTCTTTGAGCCTTAGTGTCAATATTACCAAGACCCAGAATCCCAACAAAGAGCATCAGCAAATGTCCGTTGTCTGGTACATGTAGTGCAAAAGCAATTAATTTGCCATGTCCAGTCTTGTAGCGTGACTATGATGTGTGTTTGTTCACTGAGAAGGCACAGAGAGGTGGTATAAACTGTTAGCAAAGTTGCAGAAGCCCCGTGCTAAATCTGACACGCAAAAGCTCAGCGGCAACCAGGCCATCCCAAAGTAACACAAATTAAGTTTGACCTTTGACAGCTTATTAACCTGGAGGGCTTACCCACCAAAATGTCATTCCAGGTGAAGCAGCTCAGCTCTGCAAGCAGCAGCAGCCTCAACAAGGAGAAAATTACATCTGCTTACAGGAGCGATGAAGAACCTCAAGATGACCAAGAGCTTGCAAACATAGCAGCTTTGGAGAAGCAGTCAGGTACAGAGCATTAGGAGTGGCTTTGGTGCTGTGGTGTTTGTTCTGTGACTCTGGAGGAGGCAAAGCAGAGGTGGCACAAAGGCAGCACATTTGCCTTGGGAACAAAATAGAAGCAAACCTCTAAATTAGTGTATTTTGCTAAGATTCGTTGAGCTGCCTTCTCACCCAATACTGTCCAACCTGTGTTTGCTGTTCTAAACTCTAACATTTTCTGCCAGAATTGAGATTTTTATCACTCATAATATATTTCTGTCTCTTTGCTGATTGGAACGAATGGGAACAATTTCACTTTTGTATGATACTGAATACTTCAGAGACTTTTAGTCAGATTTCAAACCAAAGAAGTGTGTGTCTGTCTAAAATAAGATTGCTATAGTTCGTTTTCTCAGTTATTGGTACTCCATATAACAAGATTCTACAGCTCCCATTTACAGAAATGGTTTGTCAAAGCTGGTAATGTATTGTGTTCTTCACTGTCTTCGCTGTGGTCCTTTCTTCCAAATAGGCCAACAAGCTGGTTCTCTTAACCTTTTAGGACCTCATTCCTGATCTCAGGTGCTTGAGATTGTAATAACATATCTGTACTGCAATCACAAAAGTGAATCAAGTGATAAAAAGAAGACTGCAGCTATATGCAGCAGCTTACTTAGTTTATGTCTTTGGTCTCACAAATGGACCAGGGCTGAGTCCCATACAGGGGATGAATAGCCTCTGAGAAGGGCTTAGATGTGCTTCCAGAAATAGTGTTAGTAATCGCACAGGTGGCATCTCCATCTCCTTTGGCACTGAATTGGCGAAACATAAACCAAACTCCTGACTGCTGGATCATATTTTGTCCCATGATGAATTTTGATGTCTGCCAAATCACAACTGAGCACATTGAATTCTGTCTCCTTAGATTTGCTCTATTCTTCCAAGTGAATTAAAAATCTTCAGTTAATGTGATTAAAGTCCTGTGTAGCATTACTATGTGGATAACTTGACCAGTAATACGAAACTTACAGACTGCAGAATCTCAAGAAAAAATGTGTCTGGGTAACAGGAGTACATGGTAGCAATTATTTGGCCTTGAGTAGATTGGAGAATAATTTACTCAAACTCCTTGCATCTGTTTTACACGCTCTTCACCTTACAGAAGATTTACATGTTTGTTGTTCTATCATTTGTAGGCATTATTGGTAGGTGGGAGCTCATCCAAGCTCAAGACCTCAGAAATAAACTTAGGATGAAACAGAAATTGCATCAGTGGCAGCAGCTGAACTCAGATCTCAGTGACGTCTCTGCTTGGCTTGATAAAACTGAGGAAGAGCTGGAAGAGCTGCAAAAAGTGAAACCTCCAAGCAGCATGAGGGTGTTGGAACAAAGGGTCAAGAAACTGAAAGTAAGTTACGGCATACTGAGAAGTGGGATTTCAAGATGCTCTTTATCATTGTCTTTGTGCTCCTAGGATCTGTCAGCAGCATGAATGCTAATAACAATGGGCATATGCCACAGAGGAGCTAAGCTGTTTTCAGCTAAGAGGACTAAAGAGAGTAGTTAAGCAAGGTGCTTCTGTCTTCATATGCAGAGATTTGCAGGCAATATGCCTGGGTACAACAGGCAGCCAGGCTGAAATAAAAACCTCTCCCTTTCTGTTTTCTTGCAGAGACACCTTATTCTCTCTCAAACAAAACATTCAGCCCCAGACTTCTCTTTTTTAGGCCATTTGTTTTAGAAGACAAACTTAGAAAAAAGCTAAATAATGAAGGCTTAGACTCCCCAGATGCTTAGGGTCAGGCCTTATCTTGGGGGGTTGGGTATTCTGAGCAGCAATACTAGCATTTTTTCCTTGTTCTTTGCCATTCCGCTCTGTGCAAACTAGAAACAGATAGAAAATTAGCCAGGTCTACAGGCTGCAAAGTCTAGGCTGATTTTTTTCTGTAATTGAATTAAGGGGGGGAGGGTTGTAGCTCCAACAGGGAGGCTGAGAAAGATCTGCTCTACAGCTGTGGTTTTTAGCAATATGGTGTTTGCAAAAAATCTTAGCTCTAAGTAGCACCTTTGTCCAATAGTTGAAGGACATATCCTTTCAAAACATGCAGTTGCATTTTTTCACTTAGCAAATGCAGATTTCTTACTGAATAGAATGTATTAGTTCAAAACAATAAACAAATCCAGTCTCTGCTAATCTTCAGCCACGTAATAGAACCGTTAGAGAAACAATAACATGAATGTTTCTCTACATGTGTGTTCATGAGATGTTGCCTGCTGTGACGCTCAACTTCCATAAATTAGGACTAAGTCAAGTCTGCAAGTTGAACCAGCAGGTTACCAGGGTGCGTGTAAGTGCTAGGTCCCTAGGACTTCGGTAACAAAATGCCTCAGGTTGAACTCTGAGAGAGCGAGTGTTGCTAACACTTGTGGGAGTGCAAAATCCCTGTGTTCTCACCCTTCTGCCAGCAGCCTCGTATGGAGTCACCCAAATCCTGAGGCTACTGGTCAGTTTGGCATTACACTTGGGATGATGCTCACAAACAAGACACTCTACAGGACAGAGGAGGGGTTTCTTAGGCACGTTGAGAGGGTGCTTAAGCCTACAGGTCCTTGCGTAGTCATTAGGCAAGGGAGAATGACTCTGTGCTCCAGTAAGGATGACTCTGATTCCATCAGCCCATCTGGCTTAGGCACCGAGGACTAGGAAAGGTTTGGTGATGCATTGCAAGTGGAGGGAGGTGCTTCCCTTCAGGCTGGAGTTGGGTGACCTTTTCAAGGACTAGAGCTTCACTTGTCCTTCTTTTGTCTGCAGTTTCTTAAGAGGAATCCAGCTGGCTGTAAATCTCCTTTTCGGACAGCTTGGCTTTCTATGGGTGTCTAAAAGAGCCAGCATGCTCTAAGATGTGAATTTCATGAGTTGTCAGGACATCCCAATTGCCCTGGATAAGGATAAAGCCAGTCTGGCTGCAGACTGCCTTACTAGTATTTAGAAGTCTGAGATGGACCGTTTGTATTGTCTGATATGGAAAGAAACTTTGTTGCTTGAAGGAAGGAGAAAGGGTTCTTTGTTGGGCAAATTGTAATTTAGATCAGCAGTTTTCAACAAGTGGGATGCAGATCTTGAGAATATGTAGATTGACACTTAGTTAGAAATAGAAAGGCTGCTAAAAAGCAATCTGAGCTGTGTTGATGCAGGACTCATCCTGCAGCTCTTACTTTTCTAGTGCAAGAGCCCACAACTTGAAAAAGACTGAGTACCCTTGATTCAAACTGTAAACTTCTCGAGGGTATGAGGTATTGTTTGGCATTCATTTTTTTAAAAAGCCTTCAAAAATACAGGCTCTACCTTAAGGTAAAGGTGGTTAGATGATACAGCCATGACTTCGCAAATTCTATGTTATTACCCCCTGCAATTTTAAGGGAGAGGAGGATAGCAGCCAGGACTGCCATTTAGGGGGACTTTGACAAGTCAGAGAAATGGGCTGACAGAAACTCTTGACTAAAGAAAATGAAAAGAATTTCTCACAATGGGGTGGCCTGGTGTGGGATGAGGGGCCCAGAGGGGATGGGGAATCTCCATCCTGAGAGATACTCAAAGTTTGACTGGATGAGGCCCTGAGCAGCCTGCTCTGAGTTTGAAGTTGACCCTACTTGGAGCAGGAGGATGGAGTACAGACCTCCAGATGTCACTTTCTGCATTATTCTAGGATTCCGAGGCAGCAAAACCTTTATAAATCAAGAGGAAATACCATGTGATGACCTATGGGAATATTTGTCCAAATGTCAGGGAAAGACAGCTCAGAGGAATGAAGGGCAGATGTGGATTAAGCCATAATGCCTGTGACTAAGGGAGAAGCGTGAGCCCAACCAGATTTGTTTTCTTCAAAGTGAAGGTTTTGGCTTCAAAAAAGATAAATAAATAAAAAATGAAAAGGCCACCTACCTTAATATGTTCCTTGGCAGTATCTGAAAAGCCACCAGATTCAAACACCTTTCCCCAATACCTGTGATTCTTTTGAGGGGGTAGTTTTATTGTAAATAAACAACATGTTTTTCATCATTCATAGAAGCTCCTAATCCTCTTTTTCTTCCAGGACATGCTTAAAGCATTTGATAACTACAAGGCAGTGGTGCTTTCCGTTAACCTGAGCAGCAAAGAATTCCAGAAAGCGGATAGCACAGAGTTCAAAGAGCTTCAGAACAGGCTTCGGAAGGTGAACTTGCATTGGGAGAAAGCAGCTCATGCATTGGACAACTGGAGGAAAGGATTGCAACAAGCCCTACTGCATTGCCAGGTGCATACCACGTGCCACCTTATAAGGGGGAACTCCTCTTTAGGGTGCTACTGAGGGGTAACTAAGGGGAGAGGGCAGAGGGTAATTCCTGCACATCAGTGAAACGGTTACTCAGAATCCAAGACACTTAATTTTCTTACAAACTTGACTCTGTTGGGTTTAAAGGGTTTGGTAAAATATCTTTCAACTGCATAATACTCTTTTATTACATAAGTGGAACAGTTTAACTAGGTTGCTGTAGCCTCACTAATCGTGAATCTGTTTAATCTGGGCTGGTTTTGTAGGCAAAGCCAGGTGAAAGCACTGCAAAAGTGGTTTTTCTCTTATGTGCAAATCTTTTGTTCCTCTAGGACTTCCATGATCAGAGCCAAAACCTAATGCTGTGGTTAGCAAGTGCTGATAGCCGAAGGAGTGAAGCACAAATCACAGATCCAAATGCTGATCTGAATACAATACTGGAATGCCAAAAGCAGTTAATGGTAAGTGTGATCTTAACTGCAGCACCTCAGCTCTTGCAGTGAGTCAGTAGTTCTCACAACAAAACGAAGAGTAGTATGTTTATTTCTCAAGATGTCGGCAGCCTGTCCTTGAACCTGCTGTATTCAGACACATGGCTGGTTTCTGAAATGAACTGAGATTGCCTATATGAGGCATTTTTTCCATAATTGCTCATCATAGTTAAGTTCCTCATGAACAGTCTTTATGCTGGAGTCAGACTTCCAATTTCCAAGATTTAGTGTCTTTTCCATACGGGTAAGTTACTGTTTCTAAATGTTAGTTCAAGCAGGTACAACCAGTCTCTCAAGAGAACTTAATTTCCTATGTAGCTGTAATAGCCATTCCTATGTATTGCGAATCCTCAGGCAGGTTGAGTTGTTCTTTAAAGCCTTCCAGAGTTCCTCCTTTTATGAGAACATCCTTAAAGTTGAGAGTAACAGTCTGTTGCACTGTTTTTTGTTTATTTGTTCTAAGCAACTGGAGAAAGAGCTGCTGGAACAACAGCTTAAAGTAAACGCACTTCAAGAGCTCACTGCTAACCTGCTGCTTAAATCAGACAGTGATTACATTGAAGCTGATGAGAAGGTCCATGTAATTGGAAGGAAACTGAAACGGCTTGTTGAACAAGTTTCACATAGCTTAGAAACAATACAAGGAAATCTGGTAAGTCAGAGTTTAAATACTTGTATAAAAGAATGACTTGAAACTAAAGTAATTCCACCTTCATGAGCTGAAAAAAGAACAATTGAGTCCGGCTCTAGGAAAAACTTCAGGACGACGAGGCTAGTACGGTATTGAAACAGATTGCCCAGAGAGGTTGTGCAGTTTCCATCCTTGAGGGGTTTGAAGAGCAGACAGGATAAAGCTTTAAGTAAGGCTTTTGGTCTGGTCTCATAGCTGACCTTGCTTTGAGCAGGAGGTTGGACTAGATGAACTTCCTGAGGTCCCTTCCAACCTGAATTATCCTATGATCCATACCAAGTATCAAGCTAGGAGTGTGTAATGAACACATAGGAGTTGTAGTTCATAGCAATACATTGCTTATCCTGAGAGCTGTCAGAGTTATTTTCCAGTTAATACCTGTACGCACCTGTTCCATCATAATTGCTTTGAGTTGTGCATAGTAAAATATTTCTTTATGCTGGAGAACTGGAGCATCTGTTTACCACTGGTTATGCACATCTAAAGAGGCTAAGGGCTGTGCATCTAGAGAGGCAATGAGTGATGGCTCTTTGCACTTGATCTGGTTTGAGTTTTGAACATGCATTTTAAAGAGGAAGGTGTGGTTACCTTTTAGGATACCAAAACGTTCCTGCGAGTTCCAGATGACTTGAACTCAGGAGCCTATAATCCAGTCACAGTGAAATCCAGCCCTGCTGTGAAGAAGGCAAGTATCTTTTTCTAGTATTTTGCTATCAGCATATAGCATATTTTGGCATATTTAGCCTGAAAGTTCCTCAGATGTAACCATTTTACCTTTTAGATGTGTGTACCTTATTACAGAATTTACAACAGGACTTTAAAGTCTGCAGCTGTCTTTTTTTAGAAAGAGAAATTCCTTGTAGTTTCTGAAACCTGGATACTAAAAGCTGTTTCTCTCAACAGATCACTGTCAGGAGAAATGCAGACGGCAGAAACAGCAGCAGCACAAGGTATTATTTTATATTTGCCTGTTCTGTTGAAGATAGTGAAAACAGCAGAGGCGAGCTGAGTGCCAGCAGAAACCTGGGCAGCTGTTCCTCATAGGTTGACATACAGGCGGAGGTGATTTCTGCCTCCCTGTAGTGTCTCCTCTACCTACCAGCTCTGGCCTACACCTTGGTGAATGGTTGAATGGTTTCTTTTAGCACTCCTGGTCCTAGACCTATGTGCCAATGTGTAACTTTGGCTTGTCTTTACTCATAAGAAAATATTATTTGTGCCAAATGGGGGAATATTTTAGGTTTAAAGCTTCCTTTAATTCCACCAGCATACCTGGAAAAAGAAACTTGCAGCTTAGAGCCACTTGCTGCAAACAGACCATGAAGGACAAAGGGAGAACTTCACCCCCAGTACGTTAGGGGCTGTTCAAGGGATAGATCTCAGTAATGCCAGGGCAGAGAAGAGCCTAATCAGTCTGAATGGTGCCTTTCCTCTGTACTTCAATGTGTATTTAGAGTGGTTTGTTTATCTGCTGGGAAAAGTTAAGTTTGCATCTAAAAACAGGGTAAAAGTACACTGATCTAAGTTATTTCAAATAAATGTTCCTTCGTCAGTAGTAAGGACAGTAAACCCAAACCAGCAGCTGGCTTCCCACTGAGCAGTGTTGCACACTTCCAGCTTACAGTTGAAGTGTTTAATATGTGGTACATGTTCCTGTAGATACACAGCCCTGTCTTGGAAGGGTAGTGTGAACCCTGGAGAGGAAGTTAAAACAACTTGTTTAATTCAAAGTCTGAAGTGCCTTTTTTTTTGTTCCCTTTTTTTCTCCTTTTCAGAGGTAAAAGCCGTCTACAACCTGTTCAAGCAACTCCTCGGTCTCCCTCCTTCTTTTCCCGTGTGTTACGAGCCGCTTTACCTCTTCAATTGTTCTTTCTACTGCTTTTACTTCTGGCTTGCCTGATTCCATTTTCTGAGGAAGACTACAGCTGCACCCAGGCAAACAACTTCGCCCGTTCTTTCTATCCAATGCTGCTATACACCAGTGGGCCTCCACCAACTTAGAAAGCAGCCCACGAGTCTTCATTTATACCAAAACACACTCTTTGCGGTGCTTTTTTTTGCTGCTAGCATAAATCAAGGAGTGACGTCTCATAATTAAATAAACTTTTATGCTGTTTTAGTTCCCCAAACTTGCCTCTACAGTACCCCTTTATCGTATACACTGCTGCACAGGTTGCTGCTGCAGCTATATATATGCCTCACATTTATAGTCTCCTTTCCTTGTCGCAAGGAATGTGTTGATTTCACATCTCAAAATGTATATCTTGACAAAATTTCAGCATTTTTGTATGGAAAACAAACTTTTTTCTATAGATTTTTAAACTGTAAGCAACACACTTTATATTTTGATGCAATAGATACACTATTTTATAGGTGCAGTACTTTTAAGTTTGCAAGGTGACTGAATACTGAGTTATTAGCTGCAGAAGCTACATCACAGTGATCTTAAACACAGCAGTCTGCCGTGGGTTAGTATGACAAGCAAGCAGTTGAAGAGGCACTTAGTCTGAAATGATTCCTGCACACACTTCACGTTACCTGTATCTCTTGGTACTTTAGTCACCTGGTGGAAACAAAAAAAATCTACGTCTTTTTCAATCTTTGTTATTGTATTTTATTCATCTTAACACGTTCAGTAAAAGGGTGCACATTTGTTTTGTTTTACATATAGTATTTTTGTGGTTAGCACTGCTGTGTTGTCTTTTTATACCAACTTTGAAATAAGAAATTGTTGTATTGCATGGAAATGGTTTGTAATGCACATATTTTCTAGTTGAACATGATTGTGTAGACTATCCCTGATGTATACAAATAATGTAATGACTTTTTTAATGAAAGATTTTTTCAGTTTTTAACCTGCTGAATAGTGTACAGTATCTTGGGAGAGAATTGTGCATTTTTATAAGCTTCATCTTTAAAATGAAACTGACACTTCAGCAATGGCTAGAGAAACACTGTGTACAGTCAGCATTGCCATTGCTTCTCGGTTGTACAGTTCAAATACTGTCATTAAAATTTTGCCAATGTCTGCAGGGACTATCAGTGTGTCTGGTGGGGGGGGGGCAACCAACTGTATGGTCCAACAGTCCTGACCCTCCCACTCCTGTAGAAGTCAACTTACGTGGATGCTAACGCAAGAGTATCAGAAGCAGCATAACCACTGTCTCGTCAGAGCAAGAGGTTAAAAATTCAGATGTGGAGGCTGTGTTGGGTGGCACAGATCCATTCCTTTGCAACTGTCTGGCATTTCCTGGGGAAGAATCTAAAGCTGAACCAACTAATGCTTATTATACATTTGAAATGCTGATCTATTTCCGCACCCTGGAACTGATTTTCTAAACCAGGAGTTATGGCAGTGCTGGAGAGGGGTAAGTGCATGTCAAGAAGAGCTCAGTGCAACAGTAAGAGGTTTGGTTGCAGTGAAAATCACCCAGGAATTAGCCAATTTCTGTAATGCTTACCTATAGAAAACAGGATTTATGAATAGCCTGTGAGAATTCTCCTACCTTTTCTATGCTTGTCACCACGGGTGGTTGCCTATTCCTCATCTTCTGGCAGGGTGATTTATGAAGCAAGTTGCTTTGCATTCTTATGTTCAGAGAAATACAGTCCCTGTAGCAAACCAACAGCTTCTTCCCAGCCATGGTGGCAAAAAAAAAGCATGGTTTATTTCCAGAATATTAAACTAGACTAATACTTGAACTGTGATGCAGTTAAGCTTGCAAAGTTAGCAGCATAGTTTGGGAAAGTCAAAGCTCACAGTTTGGCACTTTTTTAGGGGTGGTACTGTACAGTAGCTTACATCCACACTCTGTGCTGAAATGGGGGTCAAGATAGGCCAGCTCCATACTGATGTGTCTCAACCTCAGTCTCAAGTAGCAGTGCCCAGGCTCCAGCCTGCTAAAGACACACGGATCCGGCAGCACTTCCAGAGCTGGCAGCTTCACAGCCTGTAAGCCAGCATGCTGCTCAGTGTAGCTGTGTCCCACAGCTACCAGTTTCAGAGCTACGGCTCTCTCAGTAGTGCTGTATCCAGAGAGAAATGATGGATCCTCCCTGTCCCTCGCCACACACGACACACACACTCTCCTCTCTCCCTCTGCCATCACTATTTTGTATTTGGAAAGCAATTACTTTCAGATGAAGCTCATTTAAGTTTCTGTCGCTGTAGAAGTCAGCCAACTCTAACCATTATTTCATTGCCAGGTTGTCACAAATGCCCATGCAAACCTTTCTGCCGAGAACTAATAGTCAGTTGCTGACATGATATTCAGTTCTTCTGCCATTAAAGAACCTATGCAGTGGAAAAAAAATTTGAACAATGTTAAAAGGTCTAAAGAAAATTTCAGAGCCTGCAATTTCCTTTCATTATGTACAGTTATATCAAATTGTTGAGCTGATGTAATGTATAAAATGAGGAGCTTTCATGAAATTATCTGAAAATGTCAGGAAAAAAAAAAAGTCTGGGAAAATAACTTAAATGTTTTTTCCCCCAAGCCTATTTTAAATAGTTTTACTTCCAGTTGGTTATAACCACTGCGCTGTAGGCTGACACTGAAGTCTGCTTCAAACAAGTCATTATACATACCCACCAATTTCTTAGTGTTGTCCTCTCGCTCAGGACTGGGCTGTTAGTGTTCATTGAAGAGGAGAAGATAAAAAAATGACAGCAAGGGCAATAGCAAGACCAAGCACGCGTCTGCGCGCTTTTACACGTGCGTTGTGTGTAGGAGTGAAACCAGGCCAAAACTGGTTTAGAGTTAAAGTCTTAGTTCTTTGGCAGAGAGATGAGACATCAATCTCTTTTCAGCTATACCTACCGGCCCCCCCCCCCCAAAAAAAAAAAAAAATGTCAACAACAATTCTGCTAGCATGGGAAGCACTTTGTTTATTATTTATGACTTGCCCTCCCTACAGTGAAATTTGCCAGTCTCTGAACCACTGAGGCACAACCTCCATCATCAGTAGTCACTTGGTGCTGGGACATGTCCTGAGACCTCGAGTACCTGGCAAAGTAAATCGACCGACAGGTTGTGGAGTGAGTGTGGAGGGAAGGAGGAGACCCTTGTATTCACAGACACCCTGATCGCGTACTTTATATGCTCATGAAACCAGGCTGAGTTCCGCTGCAGGGAAAAAAAAAGAACAAAAAGCCATATATTTAGGTTTCATGATACCTGTTTATTCATCCACAACAATCTACAGCTGAATGAAACACATCGCTAGACAAATACGGGAAGGTCACAGAACTGACGAGCAGCTGAGAGAAAGGGAGGGGTTGTGGGGTTATTTTTCACTTTAGTATAACATACATAAAGTACTTTTAAAGGCACCAACTTCAGTCAGAAACCCATTTCCATTACAAACATGCAGCAAGAGAGACACGTTGAAACTAAAACCACATACAAAATAGGGCTCAAAATTCTGGGGAAAACAGACATGGGAAATGTGCAGTAAGCACTGTTAATGGCTACGCCAGCTCCTTAGTACATGACATTATGATGAGTGAAGAAGGTTTTGTGTGTTGAGGCGGTAGCAACAGAACTTGGCATTTTTATAGCATAGCAATCTTATTTTCTTTATGCACTTAAAATGAAATCGCTGACACTCAACAATGCATGAGAACTGTAGGAGACCGCTATGTGTAAAGACGGAAAGAGTTAAAAACCACTCAGATCATAAATA